CCCCCCCCCCCTTGAAATCAGGAAAATAAAAAATTAATAGGACATCATTTGATAAAATTCTTAACAAATACAAAATTCTATATTTATTCTGCCAAAAAAGTATCCACCCCTTGGCAAAAACTACCTTACTTGTCCTCTGAAAAAGATACAAATTTATTAAAAAAAATATTATACTATAAAACTCGTTTTGAGATAAAATTATAAGAAAAGTAAAATTTTCTGTATAAGATTTTTAATAAAATAATGATGAAATTCATGATTATCTTTTCCAAAATGACACCGTTCATTCATCAGTAAAATATTTTATAGAAATTTTGAATTTTTAAAAGAAAATAACAAATTGATTTCTGTTCTATCTAAAGCTGTAAAAAGCGATCAATAATCTATTAAGCTTTTAATTTTACAATTTTTAATAAATTCGGCATAATAAGAAATATATAATATATATATAAATATATTATAAGAAATAAGGTTTTACTTCAGAAAATCCTGACAAAACTGCAAGGATGTCTGAATAAAAATTATTTCTTTCAAAATTAGCCAAAATATGATTGAAAGATGTAAGAACAAGAAATATAGAAAATCAAAATATTTAACTATTTAAAGAATATTGTAAAAAAGATTCAAAATTTAAAAATAAAAATGTCCAAAAAACTTAAAAAAGTGACAAAAAATTACCGAAATTTTGTCTTTTATTCCTCCAATTGTAGAGGATAAGGATGACCTAAAACAAAGTATTGATTAAAAAGTTTACGAAAAAAAGCAAGAGTTAATTTTTGAAAAAATGTTTGGCTTATTTGTATCCCTGAAGCGAATTTTCCAGGTGAGGGAGGGGGGAGCATAATTTACTTAAGCTCTTTAAATACATTCAATAACTATGCAATTATGCGATTAAACCTAAACAAAAGCTTGAAATTTAATTTCCTTACAAAATTAACCAAACCTTGAAGAGCTAACTAAAAAGAGCTAAATCATATCCGAAATCTTGAACTCTCAATTAAATGCCATCAAACTAAACGGTCTAGACCGTAAGTACTTTAACATTCAACAACATCAAATAGAAAAAACAATACAAACAGAGAACTTCTATATGAGTTCCGTCTGACATTAGGTTCCTCATATTCCTATTTCCAGAAATAACTGGTAAAATTTCGCATTTTATGTAGGAACTGTCGTCTTCCTCTATACCCGATTCACAACGGTTGAACAGTTCAAATCAAATCACAGTTAGGAAGATGAAGTCTTTTTATTTCTAGAAAAGATATCCTTCCTCGTTTCTGCTGCATGAATCCGTCACCCACTTTTATTTTTCTGACAGAAAAACGAGGATATCTCAAATCCTTTTTGTTCATGCACGGGGTACCGTTGTGAATCGATGTGTGCCAATCTTAAAATGAAGCGTAATACTTGAAATAATGTCAACTGTCAGTCCATTTTAATACTTGATTCTAGATTTAATGATAATTGATAATTATACTCGTTTAATACTTGTTTAATAAATTAATACTTGTTTAATATAAGAGAATACATTAATCGGATAAAACCAGACACCTAGATTCAACCTAGAGCTGGATCTAACCTAGAGCTTCAACTTTCAAGTTTAATAAGTTTAAACCATGACAGGATTATAAGTACACATAATCTAATTATACATACTTCCTACTTTCACATTTATCATTATTAGGCTTATAGCACCATAGTCCATTAGCGCCTGATCCAATCTAGGTTTAGTTATGTGTTTGTTGTCTAATCTGAACCAATAGAAATTGCATGGCGGTAACATCTATCTTTCTATCTATCATCTCAATATCCAATTAGAGATAAATCCTTATATCGGCGCTAAACAGTAAATGGAAATATTTACTTCTACTGAAACTATAGTGTATAGGGTGCATGCTCCACACTCTAATAATACTTTTTATTTAAGCTGTTCCTTTTTTAACTCTGATAATTTTTAAACAGCTATTTCTCTGTCATTTTTGGAATTTTTACAATCTGGAAAAACATTTGAGAAAAAAAAACAAATTCAGATTTACTATACACCAGAATTTTGATAAAATGTTTCACGCGCAGTTTCACCTTTTTTGGGTATGCGGGTTGAATAAAACTAAATTTGCAAAATTCCAAACAATAACAAAGTTCCAGCAATTTGAAAATTGGCAAGATTAAAATATATATATATATATAGTATTTATTTTCAAACACAAAATACAAAATAATAATGTATAATGGTTCAGCTTAAAATAAGATAAAAAAGAAAATTTATTATGAGCCAATTGAAAATATATTGTTTGATAATTTTGTTTGATCTTTTTTGTTGAAACAAAGTATACATATTGAAATCTCAACTAAGACTTTGACATCCACCATTAGCAAAGGGTGTGAACCCATACTCGTTGACTGCAAAAAGGTTATATAAGGGTTGCGGCCCTAGTCCTGAATATATGACACCCTGTAAATTATAAAGCTAAGAAATATCGACGATTTTTCTGTTTTCTTTGAAAATCAGAATCGAAATATTTTGGAGACTAACAAATAGACAAGAACTAGAAAATATATGTTTCTGAAAATACATTAATAAAAACTTGTCAGGGATTTTGAATAGGGAGAAGTGGTTTAACTACTTCTTCTATTCATTAAATCTGGTCCCAAGTTAGCCTGGGATGCAAATTTGAAAGAAATGGAAAATTTCATAAAATTTTGCTTTTGTTTTAGAATCTTAATATATATATACTATAAATCGAATAAAAAAAAATTTTAAAATAAATTTAGAATTTTTTTAGCCTATGGACACCCATGGGTTCCCGCAAAAAGTTTCAGCTCATTCGGTCCAGCCGTTTATACACCCATAGCTCACACATATACAAATATACATTAGCAAAGAGTTTTATTACATAGAGATATGACTTAAGAATATGGCCAAAATACGGACTCAACACTAAAAAGTAGAAATTAACGCGATTCTCATAAAAACGTTAGATTTGTGTATTAAACTTCCTTTTTTATGTATACAAATATTTCTATTTTTTAAAGTTAGATTTGAATTCTTTATCACCTTGAAGTTACTCTACGGAGAGATTCAATATTTAATCCATTCTTTTCTCCGTCTCTAAAACAATAATAAAAATTATTTTCTTGTTTTCAGAAAGAAATCATTTAGAATAAACCGAGTTTTCGCCGCTTTTAAAATCTGTAAAGCAAATACTAACTTCTCTCCTAGTTCAGTCTGATCCTTGAGTTCGGTTTTAGGTTTTCCGTTGTTCTCCGGGTAGTGTGAAACCTCTGCAGGAGCCAGCAACTTTCCAGTCTCATCCTTCTCAGTTCTCTCAGCCTAAACATTAAGCAAAACTTTAATTTGATTGATCAAGTATAAAAGTTGCTCCTCTCTGTATACTTACATAAATAAGTTCTACTTTTGTAGTCGACCTTAAAATAAAACCTTCATCATCGGTCTGTAGACGGGTAAATATTTTACATATACATCTTAGTTCTATTTTGGATTAATAAACTGGATCAAAAGGATCAGGCACTTCTTCTAAAAAAATTCATTGAGTTTTAAACCACATTGATTAAAGTACCTAAAATAATAATCCTAGGGTATTGGTGGTTAATTACCAGGCGTAATAATAGGATAGAATAAAATTGAAACGTGTTTATTTTTATATTCATAATTAGTTTTAGTAATAAAAATTTGAATTAGAACTAAACATTTTTTACTTTTCTACATTGATTCTTTCCAATTTTAGCTTTCCAAAATTTGATCTCTTTGGCTCTTCATAGAAATGGACACTTTCCTCAAACTCTATTTTTTTCTAATTTTTTATCTTTGCGCCCTGCAAATGAGTTCAAATAGTCTTAGTTCGAAATATTAATGGTTTACTTTATAAGGTAGGGATCAGAAAATAAGAGTCATGTTTCCAGTTGCTTAGCTGATTTTTAATGAGAAATATAATGCAAGTTTACCATGTTTTGCGAATATAATGTAAGTTTAGCATGTTCAGTAAATTATTTACAAATTTGCATAATTTATGCAGAAAATACTTTGTCTAATTTAACTATTAGATTACTTAAAAGTTTGTTAGCTTGAAAATGACAAAGTACATTTAAACATTTTTTTAAGGGAGGGGAGTTAAACGGAGGCGGAAGTTTAAGGGAGGGAGGGGGAATTTAAGGGAGTGAAAGGGAGTGTAAACGTAAATTCAAAATGACATTACCCGATTCACAATGGCACCTTTAAAAACTTTGTCTGATCAAGTATGAATTAAATATAATTTAAAAACTAAGTATTTTCATCTGTGGATTCTCTGCCAAAGCAATTTGCGCATTTCTACTCCAGGAAAACATATAGAAATGATCAGATTTAACCATTTTTAAAACTATAAAAACCTTTCACATTATGGATCAAATTAAGGTTTCAAGAGTACCGTTGTGAATCGGGCATTGCCATCTTTGCATGTAGGGTCCCTTCAAATTACGCTTACAGTCTCTTTAACACAAACCAAATATAAGAATTCCACACGTTTTTAAAAGCATTAAACAAAATATACGTTAAACTGTTTCTGTAAACTATATTTAAAGGTTTTCTTTATAATATATATATGTGTATATTGTTGGTAAAGGTTTTCTTAATAATATATATATTTGCGTATAAAAATAAAATATAATTCTTTCAAAAATACATAAAGAGGTCTAAGTACTATTCAATTAGTCCGATTCTGAATAATTTTTTTTCTTTCAAGGTTTTATGGATTTATATCATCTTGTAGCCTTAAAAAAAAACTTCATATGTAATGATTATATATAATTCTGCGCCTATACATTTTTGGAAAATTGCTTCTGGGTGATTTTACGGCTTAGTCTCTTAAACCTCATATATCCTTTACTAAAAAGTATAGGAACGCCCGGTAGATTGAAACATTGAGGGTTTAATGACATTAATCCTCTCCATTAACTCTTCAGGCTTGGATAAATATAAACATTCTCGTTCTCTTTGAAGTGTTATCTAGAATGGACATCCTTTGGTTGTTAGAGATTAAAATTTATCAAATAAAATTAACATATGTGGGCCTGAAGCTAATGTTTTCAACCGAATGTTGCCGATATCTCCTAAACTGATGTAATTAAAATTCTTTTTCAATCTTTTATAGACCAAACATAGCTATGGGAAACCTAAACGGATTCATATAATTTCTAAGAAATATTGTTTAAGTTCTTTAATAACGCAATTATGCAAATTGTCCAAAAATACCACTTTATTTGTCTAAAAGACTAAAAAATACAAAATTTTCTTTAGAAAATAAATCTCTTCTGTTTATCTTGGACGAGTTTTAAATTTTGTCGTTTTAGTTAATCTTTGACTATTTATTTCCAAGACACATACATTTAAAAAATTTCATTTTAAAATTTTTCAAAAAAATTCTATTTGTAATAAGAGACTATTGAGACCAGCCAAACTGACAATAACAACCTTCGTACTTTTTAGTCCTGGAAATTAGATTTTTAAATTTACAACCGATTGTTTCCAGTTTCAGTTGGAATAAGTAATTCTGACCAAAAATGTCGGAATATGTAAATATTTAAAATTGTAAAAAAAAACGTTTAAGAATTATACAATATACAAGAAACAAAGAAACTGAGTTTTTGCCACAAATTCTAATTTTTTTTACAACCCGATGATATTCAAAACTATGAATTCTGTTAAATTAAATAGCCTCATCAGTTTGAATTTTCAATTGTTAAATGTTAATAGCCTGGGAACCCAGCTTTGCCTGCAAACCAAACTTTCTCTATTAAAATCAACAAATTAAATTTAGAAATTGTAAACCTAGCCAAGGACATTCCCGTGGTTCTACCGAGTTCCTCAATCGAAATTTGAGGCAAACCGGTCAAGGGGTTCCTGAGTTATGAGAAACAAACAGAGATTCCTACTTCATAGATATATACAGATAGATATACATTATACATTAAGATTCTCAGTTCCCACCTGTGTAACGAGATCCGCAAAATTAATCCTAGTTTGACTCACAGATTTCCGAATTTCAGGCTTTTCATTACTCGAGGAGTTATCCTCAGATTCTTTGAATAGTTTTAACAATGCATCCGACATGGTTCCACGGAGAAATCCACGAAAACTCGTGAAAAAAAACTCCCAATATATACGAAGAGAGTTATTAAACCGTTTTCACTGACATTGTATAAAGGTGTGATGTTGCATGTATGCCTGTAAACTAAAGCAAGCTGCCTTGATTCAGCTAAACCCTGCCTGAGAATAATCTATCAACTGATTATATTTCAACACCCTTATTTCCTTATCAAATTATTGATTAAAATTACAAAAGAATATATTAATTCTATTATAATACAATCGTCGTGTTTCACATAGTAAAGGTACCAATCTGAAATAACAAAATAATAAATATTAAATCAAAATGGATTTAATGTGCAACCGTGGCTAAAAAATTTTTAGTTTTTACTTTTAAGTTTCAAATCGCCATTTTTTCATTGTTAACTCTGTTTAAATTGAGGAATTTTCAAAAATCTTAAAAATCGATTATATTTTCAAAAACTTTTTCTCGAGTAATGTGAGAATTGACACACAAATGAAAGGCCCAATCGGATCAACTATTTTGACGTTTATTGGATACAAACAAACAGACAACCCAAATATATACATACGTATTTTGTAGGTTCTAGCTATCCTGAATCCTACCTCTGAATCTGAATCTACAACACTAAATGTAGTGCTACCGAACTCAATTCTTGTGGTTTTTGCGTATTTAGGAGGCTCTGCTTCTAAAAACTGCCTTTTTAAGACTTCAATATTGTTTTTAGGGGTTATAGGGGAGTCCCCGGAATCAGGCCCGGCGCCTCGAAATAGATTCTGCAAAACCTCCGACATTTTTTAATTATGAGTGTTTTTAAATCTATTTTATTTTTAACTCCTTTTAAACTAATAGATATTAAATTAAAATTCTGAAAATAAAAACTGCAAATGCAAAAACAATAATTTCTGAAGTTTGATTTAGATGTAATTAAATGGGACTGTTCGCGCGATTTCAAGTGATGTTGGTGCGATTTCAAGTGATGTTAGCGCGATTTCAAGTGATGTTAGCTCGATTTCAAGTGATGTTAGTGCGATTTCGAGTGAAGTTAGTGCGATTTCAAGTGATGTTAGCGCGATTTCAAGTGATGTTAGCGCGATTTCAAGTGATGTTAGTGCGATTTTGAGTGAAGTTAGTGTGATTTCAAGTGATGTTAGTGCGATTTCAAGTGATGCTAGCGCGATTTCAAGTGATGTTAGCGCGACTTCACATAATGTTAGCGCGATTTTAAGTGATGTTTGTGCGATTTCAAGTGATATTATCGCGATTTCAAATGATGTTAGCGCGATTTCAAGTGATGTTAGTGCAATTTCAAATGATGTTAGTGCGATTTCAAATGATGTTAGTGCGATTTCAAGTGATGTTAACGCGATTTCAGATGATGTTAGCGCGATTTCAGATGATGTTAGCGCGATTTCAAGTGATGTTAGTGCGATTTCAAGTGATGTTAGCGCGATTTCAAGTGACTCTTCCAGTAGAAATGCACATGTACCACTTTTTAGAGAATTAAAATTAATCAATTTTTAAAATTTTAAACATTGATATCTATAAATTCATACTTGATTAGGCAAAGCTATTTAGGGTGTTGTAAATTGGACATTGCATGGCGGGTCACCTTATATTACGCTTGCATTCCCTGTAACGAGATCGAAAGCCATATGGCAAAGAGAAACATGTATAACTATAAAATAAAACTTGCAATTCGTTGACGTTTAAGATCTAAATCAACAATCCACTATTTAATTGATATTGACAAGGCAGTAGGAAGCCTGAAACTGAATACAATAAACTAATTTCCATATTGAACAACAGCGCCACCTATGGAAACTCTCCTAACTACGTGAAAACCACTGAACTACTGTGATGGTATAGTTGCTTATAGTTGCTGCCGGCGTATTCTGGGTTGGGAAACCAAGAATGCCCCGGAGCGCCCAGGAAAACAGCTGTTTCTAGTGGACACAGTGAGAACCGAGATTGAAAACCCATTTCTATATTACGTAATGAAAACAACGGATATGGGGGGTGAAGGGGGAAGAAGGGTGGGGGGGGGGGGGGTTACTTTCCTAAAACTTTACGTAATGGGAAAAAATCTACAAAAAGATAAAAATTTCTTATAACGTCATTGAAATACTTTATTAAAAATTCTCTCTCTGTAAAATCCCTTTACAAAACATCTCGTTAGCATTTTTTGTGTATAAGGTATGGTTGTTTTACTACAGAATTACACATC